TTGTGTTAGAAAGGTTGTATGCGAAGGAGTGACAATGACCATGAATATTTAGTGATTCACACCTGAGAGACAAAGGGCCCTCCCCTAATGGCCCATCAATGTGACTGTGACTGTGAGGCAGGTAAGAAAGAATCTGAGGAGAGTAAAATAATGGGGTTTTTGATTATTTGTATTTTATTTACAACACAGTATAATCAAAATATACACAGTGAAGGTCAAAGACACATTACTGAGCACACTGATCTAAACACAGACTTGAACAGCCACGCACCTTTGTTACATTCCTGAAACAGATCCTGATCAACTGTTGAAACAAGTAAACCATACCTGGTATTTGTTAAGTGTTTGCTGCTTCTTTCCATGTATTCAAGAAAAGAAAAAAAAAAGCCTCATCATCCGTAGTCATGGAGCTTATTTGACCATATTTGTGTAGAATATCAGCACAATGTAGTTGAACAGCTTCTGATGTTGGCAATCTCAGAGAAAAAAACAGTTTGAAGTGAGTCTTCAAGGTATCTGGTCACACACACACACCCACACACACACACACATCTTTTCTTGATATCTGTAACTTAATTCTTACATGTTAAAATTACATTTTCACTAGTAAAAATTGTTATTTAAGATATCATAAATTCCTTTTTGGATATGTGCATAGTAGGGGTTGCACCGACTAATCGACTAGTCGACTTTAATGCTCTGCCATGACGCTTCTGGTCACACACACACACCCACACACACACACACATCTTTTAGCATGTTGATATCAGGAGCAACTATATTATTACATTAGCAATCACTAATATTGCCCACTCATAACTCCTAAATGAAAAAAACACATTATTTTGCAGTCATAAACATAAGCATGTTTTGTATGTATTATACCAGGGGTTTTCAACCTTTTAGGACAACCTTTTAATTCTTGATATCAAGAATTAATCTGATATCATGAATTCCTTTTTGGATATGTGCATAATTTAATGACGAGTGCAACCCTTTATGAATGTTTATGGCGGATAGACGACAAGGTACAGAGCCCAAAAGAGAATGGGCACATTCGATTGCCCTCTCATGAAAATAAAACGCTCCTGTAGGCTATTTTTAATCATTATTTTGTTTTCATTTTGGCAGAGGCTACTTACACTAACTCCGCCTACCAACGTGTGGTAGTGTTGCACAACACTGCAAAAAGACTCTTAATAACTGTCAGCTTCAGTGGTGCAGATGGTAGAGCACAAAGCAGTCGTTTTTTGACGCGACGGACCCGAGTTCGATTCCGCCTCCTGCCGAACTCGTTCTTCTCCCTTTTCACATCCCGTATCACATCGGAAAGGCATATATTTTCAATAAAAATGAAGGAAATTATCGAAAAGTGGAAAATAACGTGTGGATATTGGTTAAGGTTAGGGCTAGTTGTTTAATAATTTTTAAATAAAAATTATAATTTACACTCAATACATTATTATTGTAGCCTATACTGTTTTATAATGTAGCCTACTACAATAATGAGGTGCAGATATTGGCCACTATTTGCACTAAGTAGTACGAACAGCATCACACTACTATTACTGCAAGAAAATACTCCTATTATTAAATAGTGTAAATAGAATCTATTGCTAAGAAAATATGCTATTTTCACTTAGTGTAGAATTCATTGTATTCAAATAGCCCCTGCCCCTGCTGATAGTTTAGAATCAAAATTCTAAACTATCAGCCATTTCACCTGGAAGATGAAGGCTGTGATATTAATTTTATCCACTAGATGGAGCCACAGGATAAGGAATCTTCTAAGTCTTTTTCAGTTTTATTGAAAATAAATGCAATAAATGTGTATAACCGTAGTGTAGCGACAGTAGTTTCATATTATTAGTGTGCATAGAAATATGTGAAATGCTTGTAGATCATTTACCCCAATAAAACACACTTGTCAAGTTTCCAGACATGATTAAATATATAGTGCTGTACTACAGGGATGGTTCTAGACCCTTTTAGGTGGGCTTCAGCCACCCTATTTGTCGTCTCAGCCCCCTAAAACTATAATCAGCTATCTGAACGATCAGACCAGTGCTGCTTCCTCATGAAAGTTTATCATTCTCGCTTTTAAGGGCAAGATGGCACGAGTGAGATCTCAATGTGGTATTAACGCGCTGTGATATCGTTACTGTGTACACACAATATTAAAATTGCCTACAAACAATATTATGTCACAATAACTGTCGAGTATCCAAGTAAACACAGTCGGTTACATCTTAACAGTTAAGAAAATATTAATGTGTCAGTATAACGGATCCATGCATTTCTTATATTACACTAATATTGTTAATAAAACAACAAAGGAAAAACAGACAAGCACTCTGCTCTTAACTAAGTAACTTATGTAACTTTAATAGGTAATTGTGTATGTTTATTTCATACAGTAATACAGTTTTCATAAGCACTGTAAAATACTGTTTATTTAGGAATTTTTTATCTTTGTATCTAATTGTCTCTTTGAGGGCTAAGCCCCCCTGAGGATGAAATCCTAGAACCGCCCCTACATTTAAAATGAAGACACCATTTTATTTATCTCTTTTGAGATAACATATAGTCTCTATTCCGTTTTATTTTGTTGTTTTGCCAAAACAACACTCAATGTTGAAAGGGATAGTAGAGACAAGCACATTTCCAAAACAGAAAAAATATTTATGAATTATTTAATGATACAATTGTTGTGAGGTCTTAAGTAAACACATTTATAGTTACAAACTTAAAACAACAACAACAACATTATAGCCTAATAAAATAGCATAATAATAATCATATAAAATAGCCTAATAATAATAATAACAAAAGCAAGATTACGCAATTCTTATTAAATCGTTGTCCATTCTCCGAACTAACTACAATTGAGAGACTGTTATTCATGTCTTAACTTTCAGAAGAGTGTATCAGTGCAGTGCCATATTTAACGTAACATTGAAATGGCTGAGACAGACATGAGAAAGAGGTTCAATAGACTTTATCATTCATCTTGTCCACCGATACTTCAAGAACTGGACAACATGTTATATAAAAATAATGCCTATTAGGACACGACTCATTCATGTGAATTGAATGGCAGCCTATGGTGACATTTAACTAGTGAAAATACAATTACAGATATCAAGAATGATAGTTTTTACTAGTTGAAATTTAATTCCTGATATCAATAATTAGCATTTTAACTAGTGAAAATTGAATTGTTGATATCAAGAATTAACATATTTACTAGTGAAAACTGAATTGTTGATATCAAAAATTCTAATTGTTACTAGTAGAAATCCAATTCCTGATATCAAGAATTAACATTTTAAAGGGGTCATATGATGCGATTTCAAGTTTTCCTTTCTCTTTGGAGTGTTACAAGCTGATTGTGCATAGATAAGATCCCTGAAGTTGCAAAGACTAAAGTCTCAAAACCAAAGAGATATTCTTTATCAAAGTTAAGACTCTGCCACGCCCCCCTAAAACGGCTCGTTCTAACACGCCCCCACATATCTACCTCACTATGTGGAAATATTAGCATAATGCCGCCCAAATGTGCATGCA